GGCAGCGTCGCCGGGGCGCGAACGAGAAACGGGGCGAAAAGCGCTCGCCAGACCGGCAGAACACATTTTCCGTAGCCCTCCCTCCTCAGCCTCTCCATCGCCCCTGGTCAAGTGTGCGTTTGCCGGGGGACGGCCGCGCCGCGCTGCCCCGGACTGCGGCGGGAGCTCCGGCTCCCAGCCCGCTCCCCGGCTGCCTCATTAACATTCCCTTCCCCACTTGCCCATTGGCACAGTCTAATTGGAATGCAGAGAGAAGAAAAGTCTATCGTTCAACGTGAGCCCAGGATGCAGGCAGACAAGAAAACAAACCTCGCTTGTATTTTTTTCTCTTTTTTTCCCCCCCTCAAATTGCATTACTTTCTGGTATATTGTCTTTTAAAGCACGTTGCCCTCCTTTCGTATATGCAGTCCTTCTTTGGTAGTAACTGGAGCGCTGCTGGGATTCATTCCCATTGATTTCAGGTTTTCCAGTACAAGTAGAACAGGACAGGCTTGATAATTAAAGATAAGGGTTTATATTTAGTGTACCCTCATTTTGCATTGTTAACTCGGAAATAATTAAATAACGCTGGCAATAATATTCCGATTTTTTTTTCTTTTTTTTCTTTATAAACCAATCCTCATCTATCTCCTTTCCTTTCAGTCTCTTAACAGCCCAAAGCACTATCTCAATTATCCTCTCTTAATGTCACTGGCCCGCTTATTGTGTTTAACTGAAATTATTCTGATTAAGTTTTGTCCTGAATCAATATCAGTTCCAAAATGAGCATGTGAAATAGGATGCATAGACATGGAAAGGGGGGAGGGGGGGTAGGCGGAGGAGGTGGGTAAGGAAATAAGAGTGAAAGAGAAAGAAGTAGGAAAAAAAGTGCAAATTTTTTAGGTTACCCATATAATTGGGGTGTTCCTGCTTCCTAATTTTTGCAGTTTGCAATTGGAGGTGCCTGTGTTTCCTTCTCCTTTAGTGGTTTAATGACTCTACAGGAGAGGATGAGAAACAAAAGAAGAAAACCACTTGGGCTACCAAGACAATTTGTTCCTTCCAACTTTGAAATATTTTGTAACTTGAAGTAAGGCTGAGAAGAGAGAGGGAATAAGCTGAATGGCTTTGTTTTAGAATAACCACTAAAATGACAGCCCAATCTGTGGAAAATGACAAAGGACAGGAGCAAAAACTGAAATCTGAAAAACACTCTTTCAGCAGCCATCTGATCTGGGCTATCTCTAAGACACAGGCTCTCATCTTTTGTACAGATGTGAAAATATGCTCTGTTCATTGTCAGTTAGGTATCCATGCTCGATCTAAAGCCTCCTTTGGATCTGCCTGGAAATAATATTAGGAATAAATTGCGGAGAGCAGCAGAGCCCCTGAATTAGGAATAAACAACTGATAATAGATGCAGAATCAACCCTCACAGTAAAGAAAACTAGTTTTAACTAATTGTCCTAAGAACAGATGACTTCACAGATATGAATATGGAGGGGGAAGAAAGAACCACTGAAAGTGAAGAGCCTTCCTGATTTATTCTTATATGAAACACATTAAGTTTTAAAAAAAACTTTTTTTTCCACAGGTATTCATGGCATTGCTTCTCAAAACACACCTCCAGTAATAATAATACTGAAGTTATATTCTAATTTTCATATGTAAGTTGCATCAAGAAATAGAAAAGCGTATTCATTAAGGAAAGCAATCACAGTGGCTCCTTGTTGCTGTGATGGCATATTGTCATTCTTCAAAGGCCACATGGGGCAGGGATGTATTTACAATGAGCTTGTGCTCATAGACTTTCCCAAGAAAAACATGCTGGGTTTTAGGCTCTAATGACAGTTACTACCTGTGATGTTCTTTGAGATTTACCTTAGCTTCATGCACTAAAGTCATGCTTCAGATCTGAAATTTTAAAATAACCCCTCATACCCATTTTAAATAAGTTGGACAGCCCTGTGAGGCATCCCAAATCACAGGAAAGCTGAGTACAGGGACAAACTACTGTGGCAACATGAAAAATCAGAGGCAATATAATTACTAACAGAGAGAAGAGCTTTTCTGCTAGGCTCACATACTTATAACCTGTGCTGCCAGTGAACTGGAAAGTATTTGGGGAGAAAATTGTGATACTGCTGGGGCGTTATTGTTTTTTTGCGTTACATGCAAGCACAGCTCAAAAATGCTAAATGTTTCAGCTCTAGGTAGTTAGAAAAAGTGTGCTTGAGCCCCCTCAGATGCACAGTCAGCAGGGAACCCTTCTTCCCTTCTGCACTATTATTTGTGGTGTGGTATTGAATGCTGTCATTCATTATTGAATTTCAATTAACGCTAAGTGATATGCGGCATCCAACACAGCACTTGGGTTTGTGAGACTCTCCTGAGTCCAGATGTAAGCACCCTGGAAGGTGGAAGGGGAGTCATGAACTTGGTTTGAATAGGGCTTGAAATAATCTACAGAAAGACAGCAGGCCTACAAATTGTTACTTTCAAAGTATGAATAAAATGTTTTACTTAAAAGATTTTATTTCTTTTGTGCTGTATTTGCTGCCATATATATAAATATTATTCAGTCCCTATTCTGATATTTAAAAAAATCTTAAAAACAAACAAAGTACCTTACAATCCTATTATCCCCCTTGCCAAGGATCTCAAAACTCTGCACAGGCTGATAAATGATGTTTCAGAATTCTTTTGTGAGATTGGAATGACTTCCTATGTGAGCACAAATTGAATAGCAGGGTAGGTATGTGACATTTCATAAGCACTTCTTACAGTTAGAGGTAATAGAAATACAGGAGAGGTTAAGCCAAGGCCTAGTCATTATCCAGACTGCAAAACACTAGATTGAATGCTTCCTTTAAAATTGTGCTTAAAAGAATCATTTATATGACAGAGTTACACCATCCTTCAGACAAAATAAATTACTCAAAAACAATACCTACAATTTGTAGCCATTAGGGAGGTCACAGTCATCATTTTCTGTCATAGACACAATTAAGTAATGCAAAACAGAATTTTATATATAATTAATACATTATATACATTAATACAATTCTGATCTGGGGTACATTCTGCAGTATAACATTTCCAGAAAAAATTTGGCAGATTGAGGTAATCAGCATTTACTTTATACTGCTTGAGAATAATCCCCACCCTTATATCTAGGCCAGCAGCACTCTGAGCTGTAAGGATATAAACAATAATCACTGGAGTTAAATGAAGAGATGCATGTGTGTGAAAATTGAAGCAATATATCAGAAATTTTTGTGTGTCATAAGCAGTGGATATTTTTAGTATAAATTATGCCTTTTATAAATATTTTTATCTCTAAAAAGGCATAAAACATATTTCAATATGATATACATTCTTTGATAGACTGTTTTATCCTTTTCAAATTTTTATTTATATTAATTAAATAGTTAAATATAAGTTCAAGTGTTTGAGATATACATCCAAGACACAATCTCTATGTAATTTTAAACATGTATGCTATCTTATTTCTGTAAATAATGATGAAATAAAATGTTGAGGGGAGGAATTAGTTTTTGACCTGGTCAGTCCCTAGACTGGCTAATCATGCAGGTACATGACTGGTAGTTTGAGAAAAAAGAAGGAAGAAGCTGGCTATTTTCAGGAACCCCATAAAATTATGATGGAGAGCAGATTTCTGTAAGACTCAGGCATCCAAAACTCCTCCTCCTTACGCAAAATTGTAGCCCAAATTTCTCAGAGTTGAAATTATTTCGAGATGCACCATCCAACACTAGATGCTAGTATCACAAGGAAGCACAAAAAATCTTGCAACTTTATGCAGAACCCACCCTAGCAAGGGTGTGTGCAGCTCTCAGAGTTTTCAATTTGACTGTGTCACGCACAGACTGGGAAGAGTTTCTGAGCTTGTTCTAAAGCTCTAGCTATCATACAGTCTTCCTGACTGAGGAGCAAAAGCAAAGGGCCAGTGCCAGCTTTATTTCAACTGTGTGTAATCGGCTTTATGTTGCTTTCCAATGTGCACTGAGAAGTTCAGCAGAACAGGAAATTGAAATGAGATTTCTCCCACCTTAAATATTGGTGAATTTTTCTTCTTGCCCAGGATTATACTTCTCCCAGATTTGAACCTTAAATACCGCATGAGGATTTCCAGTTTTCTCCAAATGCAAAGATATCTACAGAAAGAGTGAGCAGAGAGTCTTTGCTGTCTATCAGGAGTTGTGAAACTTTCATCATCCTTTTAGAGTAGATCTTTCTTGGTGGGAGAAATGTAAGGCAAGCGACAGAGGGCAATGTAACACATTTACCAGCTGGGACAGGAAAGCTTAGGTAAATAGAACTGGCTAATCACTCTTGGTCTGAGTTGAGAGGAAGGAGAGAGATCTGCTTTTATAAAAGAAATGCTTTTCTTCCTCTGCAAATCCCTATTTTCTGTTTTATAGCTATGGCTAAAAATGAGTTTACAGAAAAATAAGACCTTTGTTTAAGCAGACAAGACAGAATGCTAGAAAAGAAAATATATATGTAAAATTGTTCTAAAAATATAATTATTTTTGTGTTATTTTTATAAATACAATTTATCTTTCAGCTCTTCACTCAAGTATTTCTTGGACTCTGAAGGTGTTTTTAAGGTAACGAAACATAGATTTATTATGTTTCATGTTTCAGGTGTCCAGTTTGGGGCAAGTAGAACTTGTTTATTAGAAAGATAGAAAGATATTTAATTTCTAAAAATGAGTGTTACAACATAGAACTACTTATAAAACTACTTTATTTGAATATATTTTAAAGCTCAAAACAAATCCCTTTGTATTGCTACAATGAGAAATTCATAGAAAATTTTACAAATGTAGGGCCAGTAATAATCAACCCTTTTTCCAGGAGTAAAAAGAAAGGAAAGATGCTAGACACTTCTGCCACTTTGTATGGCCCAAAAACTCGCCATGTGCTGACTTTGCAGGCTGGTAATATGAGGAATCATTTGTCAGTGGTTATCTTTGTTTCTGCAATAGCCTCCTCTCCCCTTGTCACTAGCTGATTCTGGCCATCCTAAATAATGTTTGATGAGCACAAATTTATCAATAACCACAGGATCTGCCTAAGCCTCAGGGCCTCAGTAAACTTAGAGAATGTGCTTCTGCACATTTCTTTCCCTCACCATAATGCAGGCTGTAGGCAGATGACACAATTGAGTGGTGATATTTCTATGTTAAAATAACTATTTAATTACTTACCTTCTGCTTCTGGGGATTCAGCAACATGAAAGATCAGTTAAAATAAGCAGAAAGCTAAATGGAGTATAGTATGACAAACAAAGGGATTAAGGAGGGATGAACTTTTCAGACAAACTGGTTAAAAATACTGTCTTTTGTAAATAAGCACAAGTCACTCTAGAACAAGAAGCACAATACAGACTTTCAGATTGCCTGAAAATTGCTGAAATTGGCAGTTCTGCCAGTGTCATGTTTTGAGCAGAAAATAATTATCGGGTGTTTATTCAGATTAAGAGTGGATTTAAATTTTAAATTTGAAAAAAATTGATGCTTTTCTAGATTCCTTATTAAAAAAAAAAAAATAATAAATCATCTTTTGGCCTTATTTCAGTGCTGCTCAAAAAATGGACAGAATTCAGTTAGAAGTCTGTTCAATAACTGCTCCTAGTCAGGAAACCTTTTGTTGTTGATCCAAGACTACATTATCCTGGGTGGCAAAAAGTTTGCATTTTAAAAATTATTCTGCCTCCCAGGACTTCAAAGAGTTTCCTCCTGTCTTTGACTAATGTTAGCTAAAACACACACAAAGGTGTTCTTCCATCAGTAACAACAAATAATCCAATGACAGTTCTAACATGAAATGTCTTGCCTAGCTTCAGCAAGAACAGCAAGAAGAAAAAAAGATCACATCACTCTATACTATAGTTAACACAAATGTAGCTTCTTCATCAATGGAGTCTAGGAGGAGAAGTGTTGTGCTATGTCCCATGTTTTTTAGAGAAAAACATAAACCATATAATTGCTTAGGGGTATAACTGTAGTTTATAACAGTCTTCTCACATTTTGCAGAAGCATGGAGCTATATATATCTGGGTTAATTAAATGCCATTACAGTATTTTTATGCATTTAAAAGATGAATTTAGCTTTTCAGCGCACTGTAGATGACATATTATGCAGGATGACAATTAAATCATAGTATAGACAATTACATAAACAAACTGCTGGATTTCAGTGCCTGCTCTAAGTATTGCTGTTTCCTAAACTGGCCCTTGCTGCAGCAACAGATAGAGAGATCAGGAAGCTTCCAAGCCAGGCAGATGAGAACCACTCCTGAGGAACTGAGGAGGTGCTTAGATGGGTTCTCAGCCTTTCCTGCTGTAGCAGGTTGAATTACTCAATGATTTCTCCTAGCATGCACCTAAACTGGCAGTATGAACCCTTCCTTCACTCTTCCTTGCTTAAGGGCAAGAGATCTTTGTGTGGATGAAGGTTCTCTCAGCTCATCTCTCCTCACTTCCAAACATCCTGATGCCAAGTACGGCCCAGAGCCTGAGAAAACCTTCAGACTTTGGCCTCTGTCAGAACAGCTGCATTCCATTGCTTTGAGAATGCCCTGGGCTAAAATAAATAAATAACCGGATAAATGGATGACAGTTCATATAAGCAGTCCTGATTTACCTTCCTCTCCTTTCAAGCAATGAATCACCAGTGAAAGACTGATGACTCACTAGGGGAATCCAAAGCTTTCCCTTTCATATGTGAGTCTGCAGTAGCCATCCATGCTCCAAAGAGGGAGAAAACTGGGCTGCTATTTAATATTCATTTCCACAAAGCTGAGTCAAAACTGCTGGTAAGTGCCAAGGGATTTTCAAGGAAAAACAGCTGCCCTCATACCTTACGTACGTAGTGAAAAGGTATAAATAGTTGCACATGGCAGATTGTTGATATCAACACAGTATTGTATTTGTGAGAGTCTGGGTAGCACCTGCTGGACACAAGAGAGCATCTGCAGTTAAAATAATATGCTACTGTCTACAAAGTAAGAATAGTGTTACCCAGAAGCTCTGCATGGTGCTATTGAAGTTTGCTACACAAAAAAGGGTGCCCAGGGTACGAGTTCATTAAACATCACCAAGGTTATTTGAGGAGGGAGCTGGTTGTGTCCTTTTAAATTGATTTTGTGGCACCTGGCTTTGTGGCCTGAGATCATCTTGATGTTCTCTGTTGTCTCTCTAAGAACGTGGAGGTTCTCCCCTTGGCCTGGCATGGTGGACAAGTTGCATGCCGCATTTTGGGAACATGGCAACAGGCCCCTTTTCCCTGTTTGGGTTTCCGTTTTCTCTCTGCACAATTTCCTCACTGTGCCACCTGGATTTAGAGACTTGATTTGGTGCATTGCAAGGCCCTTTTTTCTGGGAAGCCCTAAGGGATGCTGCAGGTGCCCAGGGACAGCTCCTTCCGCACCCTACCTGGGGAGTGCAGGGCCACATTTGATGAAGAAAGCTTTTAGCTAACCCCAAATTTTCTCTGTATAGAAAAGCAGGCATGAGTATGGCCAGAAGTCACAAAGATTCTTGTTAGCTGGGGCAAGGTGCTCCCCAGTGCTGACTCTCCCTGAGCTCCTCAATCTCTTGTTACAAACACCAGAGGCAGAGGGACAGTGATTTGGAATGCAAGAGATTGAATAGGCATAGAAGAAAAGAGTAATTTTTTAATCTAAGGTACCAAGCCACAGAGCTTAAACTTCCAACTTTACAATCCTCACAGAGTTCCCACCCCTCTCTTTTGACAGGCAACAGTTCACCAGGAACCTCATATTGTCATATCATCATATCCTTGACTTTGTGTCTTTTGAATTACATATTTGCCCAACAGGATTATTTCCACCAAAAAAAGTGTATACAGCTGTAACCTGTCCCAATCAGTTTCTCTTCAATGAAAAAAAAATTGTAGCTGAATGGATTCCTATTTAGTTTTCAAAGTTTTAAGGGACTAGCACGGCGTTCTGTTTGTATAAGGACTTTTCTATTGCTCTGAACCTAAAGCCTACATTAAAATCTGTAGCTAAAAAAAGTGAGATCAGACTCCCAAAAACCACCAACAACTTACATTCAATTAATTGAAGAAAATATGCAAGACAGTCTTTGTGCACTGCTTATATTAGAGATGTACCTGCAGCCCAATTTGGCAGACTTGTAGCTTTCACTTACTTTAATTGGAGTAGTTTGTATTGCAGAGAAGGTCTTTCTTCTCTGGTTTTTACTCATGAGTGACTCAGTCCAGTCCCTCATAAGTACATTCAGGACATGGAGGATAGATATTTTTTATTTTTTTTTCCTTTCTGCACAGCAGAGGGTCTGTCTTTAATTCAGTATAAACAGAGTGTTTCCTCTAATAAATTATCATTCATTAAAAAAAAGATATAAAATGGGTCAAGCTATTCATAGAGACTATAAAGATTTTTTTTTTAATTATTATTTAAATATCATTTATTTATCCAACTGTCTTTCTTTTTCAGGGTGATTTTCCTCTCAGCTTCCTGCATTTTTTACAAGCCTCTTCCATTTTAAGAAAAATATCACAAGCTTCAAGTTGCTCCTGTGTTACATCATCAAAACACTGGGAAAATTACTATTTCAAAGCCAATTTTTATTAACACTTTTAATTTTGTAAACACTATTTTAAATGTAAAATGAGTCTTTGGTGCTCCATCTCTTAAATTGAAAATAATATTTTGGCAATGGAGAATTTTGTACTTCACTAATACACCAGACACATTGAGAAAAAGTCTCAAAAATTATAAACCATACCAGTATAAAATTATAAACAGTAAAGACATGTAAGTCTGCTCAAATGACACAATATGATTTTATTTGGCTGAAAATGAAAGAGTAAATTAAGTTGATCCTGAATACTATCCAAACATATTATTTAAACAAGAGACTTCATGTTTGCAGTTTTCATTTTTTTTTATCTGTTTTGTACTTCAACTCTGTCAAAATACACATTGTGAAACTTTAATCATATGCAACCAGTTGCATATTGTTGCTGTGTTTCCTCAAGGTTTTATGCAACTCTGCATTCCAGTCATCTGGCAAAGCAAGCTGTTGTGTTAAAACCCCAACCAATTCTCATGACTTCCACAGAACCTATAATTCTTTCCAAAGGTTTTCACTTCAGAGACTGATTTGAAGGTGAGTCCTTTGGATGTATTTCACAGAAGAGTGGCAGGAGCTAGCACATTATTCCACCCAAATACTTGTGCTTGAGTGAGAGCATCTGTATACTGCAATTTTTTGGGAAAGAAATGTGAAGAAACTTCAAAGCAGCTCAGATTCTGTTAACAGTATGGAATTTGGCAATAGGAGCAACAAAATTGCTTGATAATGTTTGCACCTTGGAGATGGCAGGGTGAACACTCAGTGGTAGATAACTCCATAGCTTTAGTGCTGTTAACCCAAATTTGTCTGTAGGTTGCTCTATACTGGATGTATCAGGATGGGTCCCCCTAAAAACGTAATGATTTTCATACAGTATTTATGAAACATATTTAAGATCTGTTTTTTGTTTTCTGTTTTCTTTGAAAAGTTTTGCATATGGGCCACAGTCTCTGTTCCTTACCTGTGATCTGATGGACTGAGGATGTAGAGGAAAATTAACACATTAACAACTAAAAAAATGTAATTTTCTACATGTATTGGTTTTGGAATAATCTTGAAGTATTATAAAATCATGGAAGGACTATTAATATAATATATTTATACAAGGACAATGTATATTTAATCAGTACTTAATGGTGATATAATAATAGGTTTTCCCATAGAGAATGACTATATGATTTTCATCTTCCTGAATTAATAATCTTGAAGAATACTGAAGACTATTTTTACATTTCACTCACATGCAGAAAGAAAAAATCTTTTTCTGAGCAAGTAAGGAAACCTCTAAAACAAATCAAAAATGTGGGCAGTGAGCACAGAGAACCAATTAACTCAAGGCAAGTAACCCAGGAAAATTAATGCTGGACTGGGGGAAGTTCAAAGACTTTAAGGGTAACAGTTTAAAATGAAGCGTTTATGGCCTTGAATAGTTAAGACCTTGTGAATGACTATATTCTTTTCAGAAGGCATGAAACATCAAAGGCAAGGGGAACAGAAATAAATCTGTGCACAAAAAGAACTGAGAAAGAGAATGGAAGAGCTTTTACTGTGTTCACAGAAAGGAAAGATTCCTCAAGATGCTCAAAGTCTACCCAGGAAATAGTGGCTATCCCTTCACAGTGACAGCACTGTGAGCAGGGGCATGGGTGCAGGGAGATCATCAAAGGGTCGTGTAGGGGTCCAGAAACGCTGGGTACCCCCCAGGTGGTGTGTCTGGTGGATGCTCCAGCTGTGTCAGGATCTTCAGCACACAGTGTGTCCCATGTCTTCAAGTAACTTCTTTTGTACTGTTGCTAAATTTAGTGTTCATTAGTCAGAAACAGAGAACAGAGGTGGTTCTGAATCACTGCTGTAAAGTGGCCATGTAAAGCAATTGTGATCCTAGGACACACCAGGAAGATTTTTGCAGGAGAAATAAAATAAAGTTTTAGGACCTCAGTATAAGATGCTTATGTGATCCTGTCAGGAGTAATAATGATCAGCTTTTAAATGTGTGTTTCAGAAGAATAAATTGAAACTTGGAACATCTGTCCAAAAGGGCCATGGAAATGATAGGTTTTTTTGCAACACAGAAGAAAATCAAGAGCTTTTTCCTTGTGCCTGCTACAGTGAAGGATGAAGAAAGAGGAGCAAAAAGAGATAGAAAGCTCTGACAAGGTGTCTTTAAGGAACATCAAAGCAAAAAAGAGATGTTGCTGCTGAAGGACAGAAGAGGTGGGTAACCACAGCTCTCGAATAGGTGTACCCATGAAAACAGAGGGTTTCTAGCAAAGTGGAACAGGTGCAGCAGCAGACTGTGAGAGAGAAGAACACAACTGTTGGTAAGAAAAAGGGGGCAAACCTGTTTGAGCATCATTTTTCTGAATGTTTGCTGATTTGGGATATATTTATCATTCCTTGATTAAACTTTGAAAATACTGGAAACCCCTCTTTTATCATCTTCAGCTATATTTTCTACTGAAATACGGTGTTGACTGGGAAATCTATAGGCAGAAGCAGAATGAGTTATCTTACTTCTATACATCTTGAATGTTTCAGCACTGTTGCTTGGTGGTAGATTTAAAAATCAAACTGATGATAGCAATAATTTTATAATAAATATGGTACAAAACTGAGGAGCACACTTTATCAAAGGTGCCTACAGACACTGCTGACGTGTGCTAGTTTTGCAACACTGATAGCATCTATTGCACAGATATTTAAATACCACCACTGCCCAGTTTTTGGATAGAGCTGTATCCAGAAAACTGTATTTTTGAGCAAATAATGTGTATACTGATTCCTTACATATGAAACCTACCTTTTTCCAAGCAACCTCACTATGTCAGCTCATCACAGTTATGAAAAAGATACAGTATTAAAATATGTTACCATGCCTGCTCTGGAACTTTTAAACACAAAATTACTTTGTTTTTTTAGACTTCTTAGCTAGTTGAGACAAACTCCAGCTTCTTCCAAATGACATAGAGAAGAAGCTACAGGTCTTTCCCTTGTTTCAGAAGATACGGGTTTTCCCCTTAAGGCTCAATATAGATTCAGTGACATCACAGTTTTATATTTTATAACAACATATATTCTGAATACCTCAGAAGAGTAAGATATATGCTGATAGAAGTCAGAAATAAGTGAGGTTCATGAAAATGTATGCATGGATGAAGATCAAGTTTGGAGATTTTCTGCTGAATAGGAAAGTATTTTTACAAAACTCTCAAGGTATTTATTAAAAAAATATTTTTAATAATATAGCATCTCATTATCATTTTGCTGTATAGTAAAAATTACTGGCCCTACAGCACCACCATCATTTATTTGATATGCTACTCCCTCAAATTTGTTCTTTCTCTGTTAGAGAGAATGAGCCATGACATATATGAGTATATATATCTACACACTAAAAAACTGTGATTGATTAGGCCTGATTTTGATTAAGCAGATGTGCACTGTTCATTTCCATCCCAAAAGCGATGGAAGGTAAAAAATGAATGAAAAATGTTATCAAAATCATTTAAAAATGAATGTGATTAGAATCCATATCCTTCTTACTATACCCAGAACTCTCAAGAACAAATGGCAAATGTATTCCAGCCACTGGCAAGCAAAGATTAGATAATAAATCTCAGAGAAATGAGAAAGGTTAATAGAAGACCATAATAAGGAAAGAAAATTATCTCATAAATTCAGTTAGGAACTTTGATATCTAAGGCTAAAAGTGGAAACCAGAGATTCAGAGATACCTAGACATGGAATTTTATGTCAATGAAACAAGAAAATATAGAACAAAAATGCTTTTTGGTGGAGAGAAGTCAGTTTTACACAGGTGGAAGAGGGACAGAAGTATTTAGTCCACTGAAAAAGCTTCTTTAGCTATTATTTAGCTATAAAAATTCTAGCTGGATTGGATACTGTTGGTTTGCTATATTAAAGCTGGATTGAACATTTGAGTACTTCCTACAGTGTGATCATATGTCAAAGCCAGTCTCAGTGGTCAGGAACCCCCCTGTCTTCCTTCTTTCACAAGGGGGTGTATTCCCCAGCGAATTCTACAGCCTTGTTTTTAACCTTGATTAGCTGAAGAAGAAAAATAGGTAAGAATAAACACAAAGAACAAGCAGTTTTCTCTTACTTTGGGCTGTTATTACTGTAGGATACAGTTAACAGAGTAGGTTACAACATCTATCATCTCAGTTTCAGGTCCTTATCCAGAATTACAAACCAGAAATAAAGAAAAGCTTTTGCAAAACGTTGTTTTAGGATTTTTTAAAAATCTTAAAAGACAAATCTCCTATTTTAAAGAAAAAAATATAGGGATAAATGTAGTAGGAAGTTCATAAAACTTGAAGTTAGAATATCTGTTTTTCTGCAGCAAAAAAGTAATTAATTATCAGGGGGGAAAAAAAAGAAAAAAAAAGAGGGAAAAAAAAAAAAAAAGGGATGACTTTCAAGCTCAAGGAATAGTTGTTCACACACTTGGCCAGGAGAGGGACTGCTGATGTCTGAGTCATGCTATGCCCAGCAGAAACTGCCTTAGTTATGCCAGAAAGGCACTTCCAGGACAGCGCTGCTGCTAGGTAGAGGGGTTTGTTTTTGATACTAAACTGCAGCATGAAAGCTCTCCACTTGGAGACTGTTAAGTGCCCGAGCTTTCAAAATATGCACACACACTTCAAAATGCTGCATCGTGCCCTAATGGGTGAAGGGCTTTATTTAGATTTAAAATGACAGAGACATTTCTCCAGGCTTAACTGAATTAATTATACAGCAACTACAATACAACTAAATTTTAGCAATATCCAGGCTGTTTGTGTGTAGGCTGAAACTACTAGTCAGCCAGTGTCCAGCATTCCTTTCCCTTCCTCTTCTTCCCTTACCAGCCAGGCAAGCTTTTGGCCCTCTCTGCGCATTCTCTGTTTCATTTTACAAGTGCAGGCTGGAGCACTAATTCTCCCAATCCTATGAAGACACAGTGATCTCTTTTTTAACTTGTGTATTTTCATGTTTCAAGTAAAAGGCCCAGAGCTCCAAATAATTGAAATATGTATTTTTATCATCCATATGTAATGACCCAATGCACTTTGGTTTCAAACATTTTTGATTTGCAGACCTCTAAAATTCTTCCCGTGAAGATATAGAGTGGATTTATGCCTGATAACATTTCACAGTTCCATTTCTTGGACCTTAGAGAAGGAACCCTAGACTTTATAAATTAAAACCCACCATAGTGTCCAACCCTTATCATGATTGCAACCAACCAGTGAATGTGTCCTGTGACTCTAGTTGCACCATTTGATTTTACAGGTCTTCCTAAAGACAGAAGGATATCATTCCCATTTAAACAGTATTACATTGGCGAGAATTTATTTAGATGCATATATTGAAGACAATTTTGTATTTCCTCATCAGAGCTTTGCCAGTGGTGGTTCACTTTAAAGGGATATAACTATGAGAAATTATTCCTTTATTGAACTAGAATATCTTTATTTCTACCAGTCAAGTGCAAACATACCAAGAAACTCAACAAATCACTTTAACTCTATGCATGTACTTTACAGCCAGAGGAGTATTCTGGAGAGCAAATTTCCCTTCTGCAGTTGTCACCTCAGATAGGGCACCCAGGAGGAAAATGGACCTGTCATAGTGCCTGTCCCTCTTTTTTCCGGTCATTGATGTGTGCACAGTCCCAGGCACCCTGTGCTGAGACAGGCACTTGAGGCTGTATCCAAACTCGGACTTAAGCAGAATCCAGACCTCATGTTAGATACCTCAACACATAGAGTGTGCAGAAAGAGGGAGAGCTCAAGCAATGTCCAGAAGAGCTGCCTGTTACCTACACACATCTTCTCCTGAGCTTACAACTACTTTAAAAATCAAGCTGTTTTCTGTTTTTAGAAAATACTGAGGCACTTGTTTCTCACATTCTAGGCAGATATTTATCTGCCAAATACATCCTGACCCACCTGTCCCATAATGGCACCCCAGTCACTGTCCTACTTCTGTGTGACACTGTGGAAACTTGTCTGTCAACACACAACAGAACAAACTCTATCTCAGTTATGGGACCATAGGCTGCTATGTAGAAACAAAAGGAATGGCCCAGCAGGATGGAGATTATGAGAAGATTCAGGAATATTGCTATCAAGGCATGTTCCTTCAAAGCTGTTTCCAGAAGGGATATGTTCTGGAGAAAGCAAAAAAACAAAACAACCCAATAACAAACAAGCAAATAATCCCCCCCATACACACATATGCCCACTGGGTTTTTATTACTCTGCACTTCTCACTGAGATTTCTGAAAAATTTGTCTGGAATAAAAAAACAGAGAGAAAAGTTAAGTTACTCTTTCTTTTCCCCATATGCTTTAGATTTGTCTAATTTGGATGAAGAGTGGTGGGTGGGTATTTTGGATTTTTAAGGACACTTGTTCCAATTGTACAGAAAAGCTCAGCATCCATTCTGCTTTTGGCAGAGCAGAAAGCATGTAAGTAGCTAGAAAAGTAGAAACACCAAAATCTGTAAATCCTTACTTGAACTTAATACCCAAGCTTCTATCTATAGGTGACAGACTCCATTCCCCATTGGTGCAAATCTTTTAATCAATTTATAACTTCAAATTATATACACTGTAAAATAAAGTAATCTGTATTTGAATTTCCTGCGCAGCAGAGAAATATACTTCCTATTGTCAAAGGTGTCTGATACACAAGTCACACAAAACATTTTCTGTGAAAAAAGTTTAAAATCCAGTGGCTTATGCAACATGAGACAGAAAAGTGTTGCATGAAAACGCAAGCTGTGCTGTGTAGAGGTTTTTGCAAAGCAATCACTGGATTTTAAAGCTATTTCACAAGAGTATTTAAAAGAGCTGTTAACCCAACTTCTCATTCACATGTAGGAGTTTCATAAAAATTCATTTTAGAATATAAAGCAAATGTCTCCCCAGCCATTTCCAAGAGATTGTATCCCTTGTTTTTCAATATGTTAAGATGCTGAGCATACAATTTTATGTAAAGTTTTAATATGACTAATAAGGTTGAATTAGTGTGTTAAATAATGAGTCTTTAAAATAAGTGTGGGAAGAGACAAACTAAGGCATTGCTATGTTTTTCTTCCTCTGAATTTATAGCTATAGTTCTGTTATTACTCTAAGATTTTATGGTGCATTCACAGGTTTAATAGGTATTGGAGTCCCAATAAAGGTTTAAACAGACAAAAAGAGTGAAAAAAAATCTTAGATTTCATCAAGCCAAGGGACAAATATATCAGATATATTTGAAACCAACTACATTGGTAAATTGTGTGCATTTTAAGGCCTTCCACAATAAAGTTCCCTTTAGTATTAATTTATTTAAGTAGACTAAAAAGCCATTTAATAAATTCAGTCATCATGGTCAACAGAAATGTTTTCTCTCTTGTTTCAAGAGACATGA